CTAACTTACGTTTTAGGTTTTATTATTACCTACCTTTACTTTACTTTACTAACTAACTTAACTAATAGCGTACTACTTACTTAACTAACTACTCTCTCTCTCTCTCTCTCTCTACTATATATATATATATATATATATATATATATGTGTGTGTGTGTGTGTGTAACAATGATATTAGGCATATATTCTCTTTTACTATATAGTCTTTAAGAAGTGACAGTTTATTTTTGAAAACAACCATGCAATATGTTGTTGCTAGTGGTAGAGCAAATAGGATTTTAGGTTATATTTACAGAAAGGTTATCGTATGAGGACAATATATAATCCCTGAAATTGTTAATGGTATTTAAGGTGTATGTACACCATCTTTTGTCCTAAGGGTGAGAATGGTAGGTCCAAGAGACACAAGTTTTGGCAAGTAGGAGTTATTTTTGGCTTAGACAATTTTTATTTTTGAAACTGAGTAACTTGCCTTCAGATGTAGTGGATGCATTAAATTTAAGGCAGCTTAAGGGATGGCTTTATAGAGCTTAGCAATTAATGGAATTTGATACTCAATTGGTGGGTGCATTAATCAAGTACATTAAGCTAATAAATTATTCTAACAAGAGACTTAGGTAGTTGCAATAATTAAAGTAGTAATAAACAACCCTGAAGTAATAAAAATTAATTTTTACTATTATTAATTGATTTAATCATAAGTTTTATGAATTTATTATTTTGCATGATATTAACAAGTGTAATTCGTGCTCGTAGATAATTGATTAATCAAGTTAATCACCAAACTTTAGAAGCCTAGTTGGAAGGACGGGTCCATTGCTATCCTTAACATTTTATGTTCCAGTGTTTTGTATGTAATTTTACTGAAGACTGTACTATTGAAATATTCTGCTGAAGAACAGATTTATTGTATTATGGTTATGATAAAAGAAAACGGAGATCTTTTAAACATTTCAATGGATGGGTTAGAAAGAGCTCTGAGGTTTATATTAAGTAATAGATATGCAAGATATAACGGGGAATCTTATAAACAAATCGGAGGAATAGCTATGGGTAATAAGTAGTCTTAGCTGTAATATTTATGCATATATTTGAACTGAAAGTACTTAATTCTTGGAAAACGGGAGGGAATATAGGCACATCGATGTGGTAAAGATTCATAAGTGATGTATCTGGAGTGTGGTATTTCTTACGGGATTACTTATAATTTATATATATACTTTTTTAATATGTTTTAAACACTTATGAGTTATGATAGTCACTTCATATCATTTTAACCCTCTATATCTGCTTTACATTCAAGAATGTCCTTGTTTTCTTTTCAAGATTTTAAAGCTTCTGTATTTATATTTGGATTTCTTAAATTAGAGTTCAGCGTAACGATTGGAAACGTATAGTTCTAATGATATTTTTACTATTCAAATACTTTACTTGAGCCTGTTTGTTGTGATTTCTTCCCTCTTAAATTTATTTTACAAGCAAAATATAAACCTTTGTTTAATACATGTATGTTTTTCCTTAAATCTTGTATTTGAATTGTTCATGATTTTTGACACTTTGTTAACTTCCTATAATACAAGATAGTATGGCAGTCGTGTCAAAACGTAGATCTTTTGATAACAGATTTTAAACCTTATAAATAAATGTTTCAGTTAAATTTAATTAATGATAATACACAGTGCCAATTATCAACAAGTAAGTACAGTATAGAGTTGTTAGATTACTTTTATATCTATAATGCCTACCATTTTCAGTAAGTATATTGTATGGATTTTGTGTTGGAGTTCTGTACTACTAACCCTTATGATTAATACAAAATTTTCTTTGGCTGTTCAATACCAGTCAGTCTGTTTCATAAGCTATTTGACTAGTAGAGACTAAAGCCATTGGTCAGTTTGATGTAGATAGTCATTTGTTTTTTTATATTGAGATTTGCAAAATAGCATGATTATAGACGTAATTTTACAGCATAGTATTTAAGAAGAAAAGTGACATCTTATAAAATACTTTTTTTTGTTGATAGAATTTGAAATGCTGTGGCTGACATTTTACTTTTGATTTACAAGTACTCCATTCAAGTCAGATGCTTCTCTTATTAGCAGAAACTGTGTAGATTGAAAACAAATAATACAGGAACCGTAACTTTTATAAGTAGTTTTGATTACTTGCAAAGTGTCATCATGTTATCCAAAACAGTGTTTGAGGGCTTCCGTGTCTATGCTATGTATTGTATGCATCGTATGTGTAGATGAAACCTTTGTTTCAGTGTTCTTAGAGATTATGATGTGTGCGTGTTATGCCTATTATATATTGCCTAAGGGTTAACTTCAGAGGCTTTGCTGGGTACTGTCATACAGCACCCATGCCCCAAATTCCCAGTTTTTTTTTTTTTTTATAATTAGAATAGAAACTCATGATTGATATGCTGAAATGCTGAAAATTCCTGCACCTATTTGCCTGAGCCCTGAATCTTTTTAAGTACCCAATGATAACTCTGGCTGTCATGTATAAGTTAATGTATTTTGTGTGTCATGTTAATACTTCACTGAATGTTCTAGGTAATACTTTATTATTCTTTATGTGTTAGTTATGTGGTATATTTGTGTGTTAAGAATAGATGCAGAAATTTAGGGCAATCAGGTGTGTTGCATTACATCTGAAGTTATATTTTTTTCTTTTTGTAGGGTTGAAATGAACTATTCTTTACTTCAGCCCGTGGTTATGCTGGAAAGGTTGCCTGATGAAGTGATAGAATCACATGTTGAGAGTTATGAATATTCCAAATGGGCAGCTGGTAAATTAGTACATGATGAAAAATGCTACCCCTCTTGGAGTTGGTATGTTGCCGAAAATAAATCTACCAAATGGGACCGAAGTCCAGTACCTCCGGGAAAAGATCAATCATCATCAGTGGCAGGAAATTTTAAGTTAACCTCTCTTTATGAAAATGCTGAAAAACAAGCATTGTTCAGAACTACGTGCACGAGTAAAAACAATGTAAGATGCTCAAAATGTGGAGTTTTATTTTTAAAGACAAAAGCTACTGCCATGTGTTTGAATTGCAGACCTAAGGCTCCAGCCATGGAAAAGATAAAAAAACAATGGAAGCAGATGAGCATAAATTCATATAATCTGCCTAAACAAAGAGCTCATATGGTAATTAATGATAAATCAGAAGAAACAAACCTGCAAACTAATGCCAAAAGAATAGAACTAATTAAATATCCAAAAAAAAGGAAATGGCCTGAAGAAAAGCATTACAATAATGATGATAAATGTGGTTTTAAGTCACTGGAAAGCAAAGTGACTAAAAGGATAAGAAACTGGGATGGTTCATTCACTCATGCAAACAAACTAACACCAATCAACAAGCAGAATTCTCAAAGAATTTCTTGGGATTCGTCTAGTAAAATTTTCAAGAATGATGATATGTTGCCAGTAAAAAAAACTAACAGTAGTTTACATAACAAAAAGTCAAATATATTAGAAAATCATAATTGGATTAGGGATCAAAAAGGTAATGGAACTAATAAATGTCATTTATTGGTTGATAAAATAAAAACAACTCTCCCTAAAAAAGAAGGTACATTTATGAACTTCCAAAAAAGGGCAATAATAAAAAATGAAAAAAGTTATCAGAAAATTGTAAACCTTGATCATAAAACAAGAAAAGAGAAAGATGATGATTTATGTATGCAGACTCTTGAGAGAACTGATATTCATGAAAGAATAAAAATCAATAGTGGTGAGATTCAACCTAAACATTCACCATCACAGCAGAAAGGATTAAGGACCAATGAAGTGGAATGGAAAAAATACCAAAAGAGTTCACATTCAGAGAATTTTAACACTAACAAAAATAGTTGGAGAAATGAGGAGGTATCCTACACTGTTCGTAGTGATTGTATTAACGAAGTCAATCCAAATTCAAAGAAAGTAATGGATGTCGGTTGTTCTCAAGGTAATAAGATAGGAGAATGTTTACAGCCTCGGAACACTGTAAATGTTGAAACCCAACAAGACAAAAAGCAGGCTTTGGAAAGCTTTAGTTGTAAAAATAGTAATCAAAATGAAGATTTAAAGCATAATGTAAAAATGAAGGAAAGTGATAAGAAGGTTGACGAATGTCGATCAACAACAACAAAGGTAATATTGAATGTTGACAGAAATAAAATAATGTTTACACAAGCAGTGGGATCATGTGAGAAGAGAGGTGTGGAGGTTAAGGATGTAAGAAATGGTCTCCTTCTCATGACATTTGGTGATGACGAAGACATAATCAGTGAGACAGAAGAACCTTTAGTTAAATGTCAGATACCAGAAGAGGGTGTTTGTGGTACTTTTCAAGAAGGTAACACAGATATGCATTATTATAATGATAATTTACAACATTTAGAAGATCAAGAGCCCAATTGTGAAGTAAAGAATAATTGTGTGAAACTTGGAGACAAATTTAAACCAGTTTTGCATTGTGATAATAGGATAAAGAAAAGTTTAACACCTGAAAGCGTGAAGGATTTCGAAATGGGCAAAGGAAATTTAAAGAAAAGTGTTGGAAAGAGGACTGTAAAAGTACCAGAGGTTAAAGATGACCATGGTCATTTACAGCTAATCAGCCACTCGAGTTCTCAAAACTCCATTTCTAACCTTAAAGATCCAAAAATTATACAACATGTGACTTTCCATGATGAAACTGATAAACAGTATGGTAAATTTCCTGCTAATTCAAAAGTAATGAGCCAATCAGAAAGTGCAGAATCCATCTCTAGTTACGAAAAGTCAGTACCTCTCGTTGAAAATGTCAATTTAAATAAAAAGAAATTGACAACCTTAAAAGAAGAAATTGTTAATTTTTGGAAAGAAGGCTCAACAATGATCACTCCTTTAGATGAACTTGACTGCCTAACTGTAGCAAGCATTGTAGACTTGGATTGTGGTCCTGAAAGGGCAATGAACTTGTTCAGATTCAAGCTATTGCAGAATGTTTGCCTCCTAAAAAAATTGGCTATTGCAGAGCAGAATCGGGAGATTCCTGCAGAGGTAGTTAAGAAAAATAAAAACATGATATTATCAGCAATTACAAAACTTCTTTTTTCAGTTAGATTAGTAAGAATGTCCAAAGATGATTCTCAGTCCACACATCAAGAAAATGTTCAAAGTAATTTAAGTTGTAACAGTCATTATAGTGATCATGTATCAGTAGGAACAGAGGTTTCTTCTGCAATAGATATTATTAACAGCCAGCTCTCAAGCAAAGAATGTGAACTATCCTTAGATGATCAAAATCAGAATCAACAGTTGGTAGAATCTTTGCATGAATGTCTTGGGTTTGAAAGTGCAAGGAACCCGTATAATTCAGGTAAAAAGTCCATTGAATATGATTTTGTTCCATTGTCATCCAGTGCACATCAGACAAGCAGTTTTAACTATGAACAACAGTTACAAAATATTAATATTGTGCCCACAGATAAAAAAAACCCAGAAGCATCTCCAAAAAATTCTGCTAAACAACAGTTGTTTCATTTATCTAGTGGACAAAACAGTTTTGGCACAAGGGTGAATGAAGTTTCAGAGAAGTGTTCTACGAATGGACAAGCCTCAAGTCAGACAAAAACATTGATGAAGAAGACGACAGAACTTCCTCAAGGTGTAACACATTCAAATATAAAGTTAGGTCAACAACTACATGACAGTAATGTGGCTCCTGAACTTACACCATCATCAAAAACTAGTGGAAGTCTTTATGAAAATCATTTTGAATCCATTTTAAGAAAGCAAAGTGACGAGACAATTTCAAAGTTGGCACAAGGAGAGCTTTGCTCTAAGCAACCGACAGAAATGTCTGCACAAAAGAAACAAGATATAGAAACTAATTTGACGCAGGAGCTAAATCTTATTAAAAGTTATTTAGCCCAACAGTTTTTGAAGTCTATTCAAAAGCCACATCAGGATGTAGAGCCTTCAGAATTATCACATCAGAGTTTAGATACAGATTTTGTAGGTATGTCACATCAGCATTCGAAGTTAAGTGAAAACCCTCATATGAATCATTCCCTGACTTGTGAGTCACAATTACAGCAGCTTGGCATAGAAAGTCCAAATCCAAACATTATTCAACAGCCAAGACTGAACAGTAATTCATGCAATCAACAACATGTGATGTTCTCCAACCAACAGCATTACAAGGACAGTACTAGTGCCACATGTTATAGATTAGCACCCAAAAGAGTATTTAGTCAACATCAGCTCCAGCAAATAGCTGCCCTGACCTTTACACAAGGACATAGTTCTAAAGTAACATCTGAAGAGCCATCTGATGTTGGATCCAGTCAGGTTCACCAGCAATTATCATACCCCAAAAAAGATCATGAATCTCAATATGTTCAAGAATCCATCACAACCAGTACACAACAACATTGGGACAAAAAGACAGAGCTTTCACAACAGGAAAGATCCATAAAATGTACTCTTAACCAGGTGTCTGCAACATCCGTTCCTTCATATCCATTTACTGCACTGCTGCAAAAGAATTCCCTAAATATTGCAAATTCCACAATATCACCAGCTCTTGGTCATAAACAAATGTTATTACCCACCATTAGATTGGTCCCTGATGAAAACATTCCTTCATATTCCAACCTAAGGCCAGTGCTTCAAGTACCTAATAAACCTTTTTATCAAAGAATACTTTCTAATTCAAGAAACTCTGTGTCTCCGGAGTCAGAACGTACCTCTGTTAGTAGTTGTACATCAGGAGATACGTGCAACTCACCAGTTTTAGAAAATGACTTGCAAAGTAAACAGTGTATTGATGATTTGAATCCAACATTAGTATCTCCCATCTCTCACAACATTGGTCATTGGACAAAAAACATTGGACAACAGAGTGAACCTGAATCCATAACCTATGATCTTCAGTTGGGAAGAATGAATATGCCACTGTGTCCTCCATATAGCCTTCAACAAAATTTTCCAGAATTAACAAATGTTATCTGCACTCCAAAGAATCAGTATTTCTCAAAAGCATTTACTTACCATCAGGTTGGAAGTTCAAATCCAACAGTACCAAGAAGTGGTTTGGTTCCTTGTGCAACTAGAGTACCAATGCCCAACATAACCTCGCCATCTAGTACAAGTTTCATGATTCACTCAGGAATCAAAGAGAGTTCTCTGCTACCACTGTCCCAGGTATTTATACTTTGTTTACTTTGTGTTTATATATACTTTGTATAGTACTAGGCACATAAATAATTGTTGTGATTTTCAAACAGTTAACTAGGCACGTTTCTGATTTTTGCCTAAAGTTTTCATGATATAATCTGTGGTACAGACCTACAGAATAATGATACTTAATTGCCAAATAACTGAGGCATAAGAATAATCTACAGATGGGCAGTATAAGATACAAAATGAACAATCTTTATTAAAACATTTAATTACATGGAACAACCAGTCTTGTGATCAGTTTTTTCATTCAAACGTAGATGAGGCCATAATCTTTAAACTACACATTCCTGGCATCAAAGGGCACTGCTGTCAACAATTTTAGACAAAGTGCAGTATTACACCAACTCTCATGGGCAGAACAGGTATCTTCTAGATAATGACAAAGAAACAAAGGCAGTTAGAACAAGATGAACTTGATGACTTTCTCAACCATGTATGATATGAAAACTTCACGTAC